GCAAAAAGGGATAGTTTAACTTCTTCTTTCCCTATGCAGATCCCTTTAATGTCTTTTTCTTGCCTGATTGCCCTGGCTAAGGGTTCTAGGACTATATTGAAAAGGAGTGGAGACAGTGGGCATCCTTGCCTTGTTTTCCATTAACATTTTTAAAGTATTTTAAAAAATTATGAAGCAAGAACAAGAAACTATGAAAGGAATAATCAAAAAAGGAAAGGTTAAAAGAAAAAAGAAAGTGAGAAAAGAAATAACCAATTCTTTAAGGATAGTTGGTAGAATGCTAGCCAATAAGCCAAAGTGTCAAGTACAGAGTTCAAGTCCCAGTCATGGGCAAAAAAGAAATGAAAGAGAGAGAGAGAGAGAGAGAGAGAGAGAAGAGCAATTAAATTTATAAAAGTAAATGATAGGGAGCTGGGAAGGTGGTTGGTGGTAGAGTGCTTGCCTTGCATGCATGAGGCCCTGCCTGGGTTCAATTCCTCAGTACCACATGAGCAGAAAAATCCATAAGTGGCGCTGTGGCTCAAGTGGTACAGCACTAATTTTGAGCTGAAGAGCTGAGGGACAGTGCCCAGCAGAGTTCTAGCCCAATGACCAGCAAAAAAAAAAAAGTAAATGGTGGGCTGGGAATGTGGCTTAGTGGTAGAGTTTTTGCCATTGTATGCATGAAGCCCTGGGTTTGATTCCTCAGTACTACATACACAGAAAAGGCCAGAAGTAGTCCTGGCTCAAGTGGTAGAGTGCTAACCTTGAGCAAAAAAAGCAGCTCAGGGACAGTGCCCAAGCCCTGAGTTCAAGCCCCAGGATTGGCAAAAAATAAAAATAAAAAATAAATTGGTATCACAGCAGGAACCAGAAATTCAAAATAAGGTTGGAGAGAAAGTTGTGCAAACCTCCCAAACAAGTAGATGAAAGCAAACAAACATTACCTTCCGAGAGAGAGACAGACAGACAGAGAGAGACAGACAGACAGACAGAGAGAGAGGAGGGGGGAAGGGGGGCACCCAAAGCATCAAGAATTTAAGAGTCAGATTGGCACTTGATTAACAGAACACTGGAGATTTGAAATTCTAAGGAAAATTATTTTCAACTTGTCATTCTTCATCCAATTAAACTATCCAACAAGGTTTTTGTTTTGTTTTGTTTTGTTTTGTCAGTTGTGGGGCTTGAACTCTGGGCCTGGGTGCTATCTCTCAGCTTTTCAGCTCAAGGTGAGCGCTCTACCACTTGAGCCACAACCCCACTTCCCATTTTCTGGTGTTAATTGGAAATAAGAGTCTCATGGACTTTCCTTTCCTGGGCTGGCTTTGAATGGTGATCCTCAGATCTCAGCTTCCTGAGTAGCTAGGATTACATGTGTGAACCATCGGCACCCAGTCTAACAAGTTTTTTAAACAAAAGAATAAAAAGCTGGGCACTGGTGGCTCACATCTATAATACTAGCTACTCAGGAAGCTGAGATCTGAGGATCACGGTTCAAAGCCAGCCTGGACAGGAAAAATCCATGAGACTCTTTTTTTTTTTTTTGGTTGTTAGTCATGGGGCCTAAATTCTGGGCCTGGACACTGTCCCTCAGCTCTTCAGCTCAGGGCTAGCGCCCTACCACTTGAGCCACAGTGCCACTTCCAGCTTTTTCTACTTACATGATGCTGAGGAATCAAACCCAGGGCCTCATGCATGCAAGGCAAGCACTCTACCACTGAGCCACCTTCCCAGCCACTCCATGAGACTCTTTTTTTTTTTTTTTTGGGTCCGGTTGTGGGGCCTGAACTCTGGGCCTGGGTGCTGTCCCTCAGCTCTTAAGCTCAAGGCTAGCACTCTACCATTTGAGCCACAGCGCCACTTCCGGCTTTTTTCTTTTTGCTTATGTGGTGCTGAGGAATCGAACTCAGGGCC